GGTTTACCTGCCATCTGGGAGCCAGCTGTGTGGCTCACGGTAGTAGCTGCTTGTTACATGGAAATTTTAAAGGCAGCTCTTGAAGAACGGGCCCCTGTTTCAGTTTTATGAAGACAAAACTGTGAGGAAATTTTTGGAAGGAGGCACATGGCAACCAGGAACAAAGTTGAATCTTGTGTGTTTTAATAGTAACTGCATCGGCCCAAATACAGGCTTAGAAAAGAGAGGCAGTCATCATTAGGTAGGAACCGATCCATCCTGTTTCAGACTTGTGGTATTCAGGCTTGAAGGGGTCCCATGGCTCAGTTCTAGGTTTTGCAGGATTTATGATTTGGCATTTTCCAGGAGGAGAATAGACTCAGCTGGCAAGTGCACATGGCAGTCAGAGTCTTATCTTCCAGATGACTTAGCTTCAGTCCCTTAAGGGTCTCAGACTTCTGGCTCAGTGCTTAGGTAACACACAAATAAGCTAGGCACCTAGTTACTGCAAGTAGGTCTGATCTGCACAGCAGTGGCCTTGTTTTGCATCCAGGGCTCTACAGGTGCAGTGCTAGAGCCTGACAGTCCTGCCACCCCCAGGGTCTGCATTAATTAGGAGGCAGCTGCTGCTGGGGCCAGGAAGGGCAACTTGAAGAAGCTTCACTGACACTGTCAGGTTGTACATGTTGTCCCAGATTCAGAAGCAGGTGGACTGTCATATGGTATCTTTACATTTTTATTTTAAAATACCTAACATTATGGAGAATAGCTGCATTGCTATGTCTCAGTAACTTGGCTGCTTGGGTTTGCATGGTTTCTCATCCTTATTTTCAGCTCTAGTCCATAGTTCTTGCAACCCTTTGCACGGGCTTTCTTACGCTGTAGTTCTGTGAGGTGTGGTGAGCTCTGACAGCTCACTGCTCAGAGTGAAGCTCCTACACAATCTCCAATCCCTCTTCCCACCATCCACGTTGTGCTGGAACTAGCATTTACCAAATCCTTTTGTAATCTGCTCTAACTAGCATTTACCAAATCCTTTTGTAATCTGCTGTAACTTGTTAAAATGACATAAAGCTATCACTACAAAAAAGCATGATTTTTTTTAAATGGGGTTGGTGAAGCTGCACACAGAAATATTTAGTGAACACCTAAACCCACATAAGGAAAACAAGTCATTTTCCTTTGGGTGCCACTCCACCGAGATTTGCTCAGCTTCTCATGAATCTGTTGCTTGTGCACAACTATTATTGTGAGGAAGCTCAAAAAACGTTGTGACAATAGTGCTGCCACTTGAATGGTGTGTTAGTGATACAATGCAAAAAAAAAAAAAAAGTCCATTCAGATCACATTATTTAATGGTATCTGTAACTCAAAAAGCTGGAACAAACTTAGGAAAAAGTCATTTAGTTAGAAAAATAGTGCATTTAATTATTTGTTTTAAAAATACGTTGAGTAAAGTGACTTTGATTCGTCTTTCTTATCAGACTTCAGATATACGATGCAGAAGAGGTTTCCATCAATTCTGGAAGGTAGGTTGGTAGCTGTTGACCTCAGAAGGACAGCTAAAGCATCTGTTGCATCTTATGTCCAGAAAAGATTCTATCATTGCAATCTCTCCTGTGGTAAGTTTTGAGCAGAAATATGTATTGTTATGTATAGGTGTGACTGGAGTGTCAGTTGGAGAGTCCTCGGAACTAGAGGACTGCGTATCCAACAAAACTAGCCTTGAAGTGGCTCACCTTCAGACATAGGCCCCAAGTTATAATTAACATGGATTTTCCTTTTTTTCAGTTTATTACAAAAGCAATGAGTGGTCTGGAATTCATGGCATAAGGGAGAATGACCAAATAGCATGGCTAAGCAGCAAGAATTAAAGTAAGAACGACAGGGCACAATTATTGTAAAAACGTCCATTTTTAAATGTGGTTTATCTTTTTGATTTCTTGCCTTTGTACTTCTTTTTCAGCCCTTTGTGCCTGAACTGTTTCTTCTTTTTGATAATGCTTTTCACATCCCTATTGTGAAGCCACTTGTCACGCTCTACTTCCCACTTGAGCTGTTTGACACCTGTAAGAGGAAAGAGGGAGGAGGAGAAATAAGGAGCTGATGGATACCTCTGATGAATACTGGGAAGTGCCTGCCCTCTGACAATTATATAGAATGTGGATAAATCATGTAAAACTAATACTTAGCTACTGTATTTATAAATGCCAGTAAAGTGCAAACTGTTGTGTGTGTCTTTTTTTTTTTTTTTTTTGGACACCAGAGGAAGCTTTTTCCATTTCACAAAACATATCTGCCATCACAGAACCTGAGGGTTTAAGACTGCTCTTGAAGTTGTTTGCATCTTCCTAATGGTATACATGCTCATATAGAAGCATTCAGTGTTTTGAGTGCTGCTGTTACCATTTTTCAGTTGATACCAGCAAGACTGGTAGGGGCGTCTACAAAGGAATTGATTGATTAATTACATGTGAATTTGTTTGAACAGAGTTTTATTTCTGGGAAACTGCTTTTGCTTCACCAGTGCCGCAATGAAAAATTCCAGTACCTAGATTTAGGCCTTATGCCTCACCGTCACAAGGATCGAGTGCTACTACACTCTATCAGAGCAAAATTCAGATGAAGAAGGCTTGACAAATAGCTTTTTCTTTTTTTTTTTTTAAATTTGCAGTGTAAAAGGGGCAGGCTATAGCCTCTTAGTTTTCTTCTGACTACTGGAATAAATAAGGCTTCAAGAAAAAGATGTGCTTTTTGAACTTAACTGTATTTCAGCTAAATAAGATACAGAGAAAGGAGCTTATCAGCGATATAAATATATGCTCTTTGCAGCATGTACTTACTTGCATTATCTCTGTTAGCCATCGCATTCATTCCAATGTTGTCAAACTTAGACCCAGCATTTTCATCCAGCAGATAGCCAAACTTTAAAAGAGAAATTTTCGTATTTCATTACTAATAAACAGGTAAAATGCATATGTTTGTTTGTTTTTTTAAAAAAACTGGTCAAACTTACCTCTTCTGCGGCTGCCAGCATATTGGCATCTTTGAGCTTTCTCTTTTTTCTTCGGTTGGACCCTTCAACAAAAAAGTATTATTCTTAAAGACACCGTTTCAAGTTCACAATGACACTAAAACAAAAATCTTAACATGTTTTAAAAGATTATTTTTATTTAGTACGACCATTTAAAATAGTTGTGTTAGAAAGCTTCTTTACTCCCCTGCTCACCCAAACGGGAAAAAAATGTTTTCAGCCTAGGACTAAACAGC